AAAACAAAACAAAACAAAACAAAACAAAACAAAACAAAAAAAAAAGGAACTGCACACCATTAATCCAAGCCTAAGATATTCAATACAACTACTTTACTAGTGCATTTAATATCATCAACGTTGATGAACGTACACTGAATAAAACCGTTATTTCCAATTTTAAGRTTATTACTTTACAGACGGAAAATCAATGCTAGTCGCGACAATAACAGTCATGAATTAGCTGAATATGAATCTAAATACTAAAAGTAATACTTACTGATTATCTCTCTCCTTTTTATCGAACATTTTTAGTACGATTACGAACCACTGCCGTGGAATATTTGGCAAATTTTTCATTATAAAAAGTGCTAGATTGCAAGCGCAAGCGCCATGACACTTTTTAAGGGTAATACCGCTGAGGGCTCGTCCCAGTCTTACATTCCTTATTCCCAGTCATTCCCCATTCCCTCTTTTAGTAACGTCCAGTTCAATTTAACTAGTGGAAATTTTCGACACAATGTTAAAAGCGTTTGTCAACCAATCTATTTCGGAAATGATTGTTATCTTAGACTCAATCAACAAGCAACAGAACGGAATGAATAGATGATGAGAGRAATACCAAAAAAACGCACAAATCTTGATCATCAAAATTTCGAATTCCTAGCCGACAAACTGAACATACAAGTTAAGTTCATCAATTCTTCTCGGACATACAGGTGTCGAGAGAAGATATATATCACAGTTTCCACGATTCAAATCAGGTAGTTATTAATTTAATTTACTTAAAACTATTCGAGTATTTCAAATTTTTCTTGAATACATTTTTTTATTTCCTCATTTTATATATTTATATTTATTTCATTTCTTATRTGTGTGTGTGTATAATCATTTGTACATTTAGTGCTAATTATATTATTTAATATAAACAAGTTTATTCAATACTTTAGACAATTCGATTTCACCGTAGAAAGGAAAATGTGTCGCAGATCATAAGCAGCTTTAAAATAATTATTCCTCTTTGAAAGGTTTTGCATTAATATTCGTGTTGACGATTTTTCTGGGCGACAGTTGAAAGCTTATACCTCTTGCAAATAGTATCGGAAAATCAGCGATGAGAAGGTAATGATATATCAGTAATAATGCAGATAAAAATATATTTGTCAATATATTATTTCTTTATTTTATTTCTTCACGCGAAAATCGAAAATTTAAAATTTCGTGTCTTGTATATAAGCAAGGCGCATCAGTTTTCTTTTCTCGACGTTTATTATTGATCTTTCTTTGAAAAAWATATATATATGTAATTTTTTTCAAACCTTGCCAAAACGGCGACTTCTCAGTGGGCTGAACAATGTCAAGGCACGGCTAATTCACAGATAGTAAGCCTGAGACAGCCTCTGGGCAGATCTAAGTCAGGGTACGGCTATCTGGCAGATAAGAGCTCTGAAACAACCTTTGTGATGATCAAAATGAGGGTAAGGCTAACTCACAGTTTGAAACCTAAAACAACCTTTGGACTGATCAAAGTAAGGCTAGGTTAACTCTCAAATAGAACCCTCAAACAACCTCTAGGTAGATCTAAGTCAGGGCACGGCTATCTGACAGATAGAGCCCTGAAACAATCTCTGGGCTGATCAACGTCAGGGTACGTATACGACTAACTCACAGATAAAACTGGAAAACTTAATTTAACATCATGTTACGCCAAGAGTATAATGGAGGGAGCAAACTCTGTGCTTTGACTTCTGCAAAGAAATAGAAAACCTGATCATTACACAGAAATGATCTAATAATGTTTGTTCTTTTGGTATTCATCCCGTCTGTTCCACATAAACATTTCAAGAAAATGCTAATATTCACTGGAAATCTCCGTGTATTTCGGTGTGAAAATTTTCTATCAAGCAAAAAAAAATTTTACACTGAGTAGACATTTGAAATTAGAAAATGAAGGAGAACGAAGACAATAATGGCAAAAGCTAGGTCATTTCAATCATGGACTTCATCTAATATCTTGAATAATCCTAGCATAAATTGAAAGCGTGTATTTTCAATTTTTAATATCAAAGACTAGGTTAAAAAACCCTAGTGGATCGGATGTGAACGTAATGTCGTGGTCAAGCCGGAAATGAAATGAATGTTAATATTTTTGAGACTAGTACTATGATCATATAAAGGAATGAATATAAGTGAATGAGTGAATGAATCATTGAATGAGTGACAGAGAGAACGAAAGACCTCTAAAAAAAACACCTCTTTGAAAAAAACTTTTTTGATGAGTGCTTCCTGTACAAACATTGTTATATTTATTA